AAGGGGGAGCAGTAACCAACTTATCAGAGAAGAAGCTACCAGCTAATAAGCAGGCAAAAAAGAAACCACTGAGAAGCACAATGCATTCTTTTCAAGGGTCCCCAGGAAACTTTAGACTAGCAATAGTTGAGAACGAGAATACAAAAAGGGTAAAAACAGGGGTGTAAGGTGAAAGTCTATTATTACAGCACCTGAATCCTCTGACCTCTTTACCACCCCCACTCAGTTAGGCAAAAACATGCCCTGGGCAGGATCCTAGAGGTTATTCTATGGAAAAGTTGAAAATAAGGCTTAGATTGCCAAATCTCAGACAGAGCAGAAGACAGTGAGGCTTGGGACTGAACTCAGAGAGATCAATAACCAGTGTGAAGACCCAGGGAGGAGAGGATGCCCCGTGATTCTCCCTGCCTCTCAGTCTTTCACACTCAGGTACATTCTCTTCCTAGTCATTTTATAAATTAACAATACATTAGAAAGATCACTGATCATAACCAGTGGGATTTATCCTTGGGATGCAAGGATGGTTCAACACACAAAAATCAATCAGTGGAATACATCATATCAACAGAATGAAGGACAAAAAACATATGATCATTTCAGTTGATGCTGAAAATATATTTGATAAAATTTAACATCCCTTTGTGATAAAAACCCTAAAAAAACTAGTGATAGAAGCAACATACCTCAATATAATGAAAGCCATCTATGACAGACCCACAGCTAGAATCACAACAAATGGGGAAAAACTGAAAGCCCTTCCATTAAAATCTGGTGAGTCAACGAAATTGGGAAATTATGCTAAAAAGCTGCTATATTTTTATTGAAGGATAGCAATGACTTTGTTAGTAATTTTGATTTTATTTTATGTTTGCCATAAGTATTAACTTAAGTGTAGCTTTTTACAGAAAAATATTCTTGTTTCTAAAAAATGGAGTTGGCATTATCAATATGATTAAAGTGAGTACCTTAGTTTGCCTCCTGGGATAACATAGGGCACAGCTTGTTGATTTTCTTTATTTTTATTTTTTAGTTTCCCACCTATCTCCCTGATCTTTCTTCTTGTTCTCTTTTGGAGATTTATCTTTCTCTGTCCATCCCTAAAATGCTAGTAATTCTTAAGATACTGTTCTTGACTTTCTCTTTTTTTTCCTCACTAAAACTGCTTTGTTCTCCTTGCATACTCTTATCCATTATCATGACTTAACTATCTGTTAAATCTGTACTTTGACCTGGTTATCTCTAATAAACTACAAAACTATTTAGTTAATTCTTTATTGGCCTAAGCCACCTAAATATCCAACATGTTCAAAATTATATTCTTTTTTTTAAACCTTTGCTTTTAAATAATATCTTCCTCAGTTATTCCTCATATAACTGAATGAAAACACTTTATATACAGCCACACAAACCAGAAACTTGGGGTGCACCCCAACTCTGCTTGACTTCCTTACTACACACCAAGTCACAGAATGCTGATAATTATATTTCCTTCACATGTTCCACACCCATTCCCTCCAGCCTGTCCCCATGGCTACCATCTCAATTCAGGTACTCACTGTCACTGGAAAATGCAGACTCTACAGATAGCTTGGGCTTACAGTCTCCAATCTCATTCTTTGAAACAATCCTTCACATTAACCAAACATTAATCTTTGTAGTAACATATCTCAGTCAAATTGTTCTACTCTTTATTTCCAATGAAGTCCAACAGAAGCTCATCAATGAACCTCTTTCCCACTATCATTATTATTGTTATTATTGTTGTGCCCTCCTTATACTTTAAGGTGCAACTTGGTGTGTCTTTTTTTCTTGTGTTTACTTCTTCATTATTTTTACACAGTTTTACAATTTTCACTGAAAATTTCTCTTAACTCCTCCATGCAAAGTCAAAGCCTTCCCAAATTGGACCTAATTCCTCCAGTACCAATGGGAAAATAACTTATAATCATTGAAATCTGCAGACTCAGATGTCACTACAGGCATAATTGAATAGGTATGGTCCAGCCTGGCGTGTCTTCCTGGACAGTGTCTAAACTTTCCATCCACAGCAAAGCCTTTCTCTATCCACTTTCAGAAGAATCTACCCCACCCTTCATTGGTGCCTGCAGTATACTGTGCACACGTGTATCCCAGGTCCTACACTGCTTATTTGCATGGCTCACTTGTAGGCAGACTGTAAACTCTTGGAAGACAGAGACAGTATCTTACTAGTGTTTGCTTTTCCAGTGTCTAGGATGATCCCACACAGAGCAGATGCTCAATAAATGTAAATTGAATTAGCAAATTAATAAATGAATGAGATGATTAAATGTTCAATATCTACATGTGGATAATTGTGGATATAAAATATCCATATGTAGATAATATATGAATAATTGAAAAGTATCTTGGCAATATTTTATTTAGTCCTCCAGTTTTAGGTAGTTAGTAAACTTATTTTATTTTTGTTAAGTGCTTCAGCTGTTTTTTTCTAAACACTGTACATAGCTACTAAACTTTTCTTGTCATTCTTCCAGAGACTTCAGGATAAATATTCCTTGAGTTTCTTTATTCTGTCCATAAAAATACACCTGCTTTGAAGCCCTTATAGTCTGTGAGCCAAAATTATAGGCACATTTCCAAGTATCCCCTGTTAGCTCACACATTAACAACCTACATCTCTCTGGAGTAAAGAACCCAGTGTGTTCTGACAAATGAGATTTGGATGTTTCTCTCTAAAAGGTTGCCCAACCAGCACGCGCGCGCACACACACACAGATATATACATAATACATATACACATAAGGAACATACACATAAAGGGGATAATCAGAAACATTTTCAAGGCATCCTCTGACTATGCTTTATTATGTGAATATAAACATAGCCCCTACACCTGAGGCATCATTATATCAAAAGTTTTGTTGAACTTCAGGAGTGTATCATAGTAAAGGCGAAGGTGTGAGTTACACGTTTGCTGCCCTCGAAACACCGGGGCTTCTACCATGACACCTTTCCAAGGCCAGCCTTACTCTGGCTTCTGTCTTCTCTTATGTCCTACACCCTATATCAAATCTCAGGTACTATGTGGGGAAGGCCTCAGAACCTTTCTTACCACAATGTGGGAGGGTTGATAGAAGTATTTTTTTTCTCTAATCTATCAATACCAAGTTAGAATTAACTAAGAAGGAGAAGATTTTCAAGCATTTATGACAGAAGCATGATGCTCTGCCTCCTCCAAGCTCCATTTAATCCATCCAGGGCAACGCTGAGATCCATGAACTTATCACAGTCCAAATACTTAGGGGCTGTAATTTGCAATGTGGTCCCTGGACACTGGAGAATGCAAGGTCTTATGACTACAAGAATTTTATGTGTAGAGATCCAGCTGGCTATGAAGTCATCGCCTGCCAGCTTCTTTTGTTTTCTGAATGCCCATCCCCAGGGCCCAGAGAAATGGAGACAGGAGGATAAACTTTTGTTTCTTCCGGTAGACAGAGTCTGAATGCTGTGTATCCTGGTTCCCTTAGGGACCCTACCTTGTCCTCAGGGACAACCTGTGAAGGCTTGAGTGAAGATGACCCAGCCATAAAACCTATACGGCTGGTGTTCCCAGAGAGCAGGCTGCAGTCTGCATCAGCCTGCGCTGAGAGACAACCCCTGAATCTGGAAATTCCTTCTCTCAGAGACTGCTGGTGGGAGCAAGATCCCAGCTCTGGCCTTCAAAAGCTCCTGTGATCTCTGCACAATTTCTCTAAATATAATTATATTTCTGAGACAAGACCAGGCCTGGTATCACAGTGAGTAAAGGATCTTCTGCAAAGTCTGGTAGTTTAGAGAAGCCAGGGTCTGGAGGAAGGCAGGGCTCTAGAAATCAGTACATTGAATGGAAGACACAGAGATAATTTATTGGCAGACAGTTTCCTGGGCTTAAAGTAGAGTTAGCATTTGCAGAGGTGGAGTCATAAACTGCACACTAAGAATGACGCATTGATCATTTAACATTTGTATACTTCTGTGAAACATCCTGGTTTTCCCTTTCTGTAGCCCCTGTGGCTATGCAGTAGGGGGAATGACAAGCAGAGAAAATTTAAGAAGAGTCTGAAGACTTGATTGAAATCAAGGATATGTTCTTTGAATGTTAATCCTAATGTAATGCCTTTCATCCATCCATCCATCCATCCATCCATCCATCCATCCATCCATCCAACAATTGTAGAGGGCATTGTGCCAGCAACAGCACCTGCTAAGAAGCAGGGAAGCAGCCCTGAAAGGGGGTGGGATGGAGGCAGGAGTCGGAATATTATCCTGTTAACTCTTCACATAGATAACCACTTGCCCTGGCCATGTATCAGAAATGATTTCAATGAATGCTTGCCGGATTAGTGATGGCACACTCTTTCTTGGCTTGCATGCAAAGAGAACCAGCCAGATTTTCCTGAGTAGCTTCAGGAGTAAAACACTTAATGCAAACTTTATTTTCCCTAAATCTAGTAAACACAGGGAAGCAAACCTCTTTGAAATTGCATTTGTAAGCCTCATTTCCTAATTCATGCTTTTATGTATTTTCTCTAATCATTTACTGAGCACCTGCACACGCAATGCACTCTGCACAAGTTACAAAATAAGAGAAAACCAAATATGGAAGAGAAAGTGGGGGAAAATATGCAAACTAAATACATTAGAAAGTGAAACACATGAGAACATGGCTATGATCCTTACTCTAAAATAAAACGGCCAGCCATTCTGGAAAACAACTTACTCTGTGGCTTCCCCTCTGACAGTAAAAATGTGGGTCTTGCAATCCATGTTAAGTAAAATTCTGTGGGAATGGACATAGTGTACGTCACCCTGTCTGCATTTACACTAGTTCCCTGAACTGAATGTTTTTTCTGCTTTACTCTGGATTAAAGGATTGGACATAATGGCTCTGAAAAGGCTGACTGAGTCAGCACCCTGGGTGCACCATAAACCCTGTCCTTCCGTGAAGTGACTAATCCGGATCTGCATTTGCTCCTCAGCACACAGCTCATTGCCACAGCAGAGTCCAACGCAGGTACTGTCACAAGGGCATGACAGAAAATCAGACAGGGTCACAGAATTCATTCTCCTGGGATCTCCGCTCAGCCTGAGGATTCTGATGCTCCTCTCTGGGCTCTTCTCCCTGTTCTACATCTTCACCCTGTTGGGAAACGGGGCCATCCTGGGGCTCATCTGGCTGGACTCCAGACTGCACACCCCCATGCACTTCTTCCTCTCACAGCTGGCCATCGTTGATATTTCGTATGCTTCCAACAATGTCCCCAAGATGATGACAAATCTTCTGAACAAGAGAAAAACAGTCTCCTTTGTCCCATGCATAATGCAGACCTTTTTATACATGGCTTTTGCTCACACCGAGTGTCTCATCTTGGTAATGATGTCCTGTGATCGGTACGTGGCTATCTGCCACCCTCTGAAATATTCTGTCATGAAATGGAGAGTGTGCACAGTCCTGGCTGTCACTTCCTGGGCATGTGGCTCCCTTCTGGCCCTGGTCCATGTGGTTCTCATCCTGAGGCTGCCCTTCTGTGGGCCTCATGAAATCAACCACTTCTTCTGTGAAATCCTGTCTGTCCTCAGGCCGGCCTGTGCTGATACCTGGTTCAACCAGGTGGTCATCTTTTCTGCTTCCGTGTTCATCCTGGTGGGGCTGCTCTGCCTCGTGCTGGTCTCCTACTCCCACATCCTGGCGGCCATGCTGAGGATCCAGTCTGGAGAGGGCCGCAGAAAGGCCTTCTCCACCTGCTCCTCTCACCTCTGCATGTGGGGCTCTTCTTTGGCAGTGCCGTTGTCATGTACATGGCCCTCAAGTCCCGCCATCCTGAGGAGCAGCAGAAGGTCCTTTCCCTGTTTTACAGCCTTTTCAACCCGATGCTGAACCCTCTGATCTACAGCCTGAGGAATGCAGAGGTCAAAGGTGCCCTGAAAAGAGTGTTGTAGAAACAGAGATCAAGGTGACAGATGCCAGGGAAAGTCTAGAGGGTTGAAGATTTGCTCCCAGTGAAATTTGTAGGAACAGGTGATATAAATGCCTTACAGTTTCATCTCTTAGGTTTCTGATATCAAGGATGTGTATTGATTGGATTCTATCCCTAAACGTGGTGTACCGTGCAGATCACAAAGCACACCCAGAAAGGCGCTGAGCTGTGCGGTGCGGCACAGGAGCAAAGTGCCATGAACTCCTACTGCCAGCTCCCAACCCTACAGGATCTGCTTTCTGTTCTTTTGAGGCTTAGTTCTCTCAAATTTCCTCTTAAATTCCTCTATTATTTCCTTCTCTTTTTGCCATAAGTATATGCTGATAATCCCATACCATATGCTGCTTTAAGAGTATACTTGTAACCACACAGAATAAATACTGACCTTGGTTAAGCAGCCCTCTACTGGGAATGTAACGGCAACTAAGAGTAGAGCCAGTGCCTGGTCTGGAACCTAAAGGATGATGACATTATTACTGGAAGTTCATCTAAATCACCCTCACAAATCTAATTCTGTAAAAAGCAAAGTTTCATTGTATAGATTTTTTATATAAAAGGCAGAGAAATAGCAGGATCTTTGTTTCATTTCAGTTAATTCTGCACCATCTAATTAGAAAGAGTTTGGAAAGATTTTGCATTTAAAATAAATATGAGAGAAAGTTATTAGGGATAGTTAACCCTTTTCAGAATTGAGATCGCAAAGCTGGTTGTAGGTGACACTTGTATCATTACGGTGATTACATAAAATATTGTAGGAGTAAGAAAATACTGCAAAGGAAGAAAGCATCAAGAGAAGCTGACAGCGACAGCTTGATGTAACATCATAGACCACTGCTTAGAACCAAGAACATGACAAGTCTTGATAGGGACTTTTAGGAACCTCAACAAAATTCCAAAGAGAAGCTACTCCACGTGATATAAATCACTGTTTCTGGACCCAAGTGGTCAGAATGACGTGGACAAGTAATTTGTTTTATTTTAACACAAGTCTGAGTTCTAAATGATCAGCATAATATGATAATATGATTTCTTTAACACATTGAGTATGGTACCTTTGGGAATTCTCTCTTTTTTTCTTTCAACTCTTGTAGTATTGTGTGCATTCAACTGTATGATCCATGATGTTATTACATTATCTGCTGCCTGTAGATTTTCTATTTTTACAATTTTAAAAATGTATTCTTATCACTTCAAATATTTCTTCTTCCATGAAAGAAAGAAGCAAAGGGAGAACTCTTTGCTCCCACCCTCTCTCCAAGTGTACTGTGTTCTTTTCAGTTCTCAAAAAGCCTAGTTGCTGACTATTCTGCTCATCCATTCATCTTGGTTAAACATTCTGCCTCTGGTGATGGTCTTTGTTTTCACATCTCCATACTGTGAGGACATGTTTTGGCCTGCAGAAATTCACAAACCTCGCTCTGCCCCTCCCAAAGAGAGCAATTTGAATTAAAAAAATAAATACTGGATCTAAATTTAACTGTCAACCACTATGGCATTATTGTGTGCACTATTCTAAAGCTAGAAAGAGAAAACAGGCAATATTTTAATATAAAAAGGACTTTCTCACTATATCTGAAAAAATTATTACATTCCCTAAAATATATATACTTCATATTCTGCTTAAAACTTTTAAAAGAAAAGGGAAAGAGGAAACATATAGTTCATCTCATATAAAACATAAGCAATAGATTTGGATTCAGAATTTTTTACCTAGGGTACAGCAGAACAATCGTGATAGAATTCATCCTATGTCAGTTCTAAATGATTGGGAAAGAATAGACCAAAAAGACCACATTTCTACAGAAAGTGACAAATGTAGATAAATTATAAAGAGATGTTCTCTAGCTGGTCCAAATAGTGGCTCTAATAATGTATACATATTATATATATTTAATACATTATAGAGTATATGAAAAATTTCTATTAATTGTTTCCATATTTGAGTTCTAGGATTTTAACAAACTAATTATATGTTGGTGTTATGACCGCTTTATATATATATATTTTCAACATGAATCAGTTTTTAAAGGGCTGGGGGGAACCAAAAGAAACAGGCATTGCTTTAGGCTGCAAGTTCTACTGACTGCTTCACAAATGTTACCCCATTTATCTTGCACAAACATCACAATGGAGTCGCTATTATTTTCCCCATCTAATAGATAAGTGAACAAAGTTCAGAATGATTTAATAACTTATCCTATACTACACAGCCAGTAATAGAACTGAGTGTTATGGATTGCACTGATTGCAAACCCAAACTGTTTCTTATCAGCTTTCTGCCCAAAACATTACAAATTTTAGCTCAACAGGGGTTAGACTCAACATCCACATGATGGGGCAGGATCTGGAACAAAACAGCATTTACAGTATTAACACCAGAAAGAATACATCCTGTAGCCAACCCATCTCTGGAGGATTCATTATCACCTTTGGGAAGAGTAGACACTCTCACATTAGTGGCGTCATCATTTTCCAATAGTAACTCCCTCCTAATGCCTGTCTGCAAAATCACATGGCTTCATAAGGCATTGCCCCAAAGGGACAATCTGAATGAGAGACACCCTGCTGTTCTCAGTGTCTCCTGTTACCTATGATTCTGGTCTTCGTTCTATCATCAAGTGTACCCACCTGTGTTCTTTCCCTTTATGATGTGATGAATGCTTTTCTAGGAAGTGTCCCCATCTCTCCTGTGTACAGATCCGTGATGGACCTACCTTACCACTGCTCTAGGCTGCTAGGACTGAGAAAGGGGGAACCCAGCACAGGTGCAAGCTGAGATGCTTGCTATGTTAGATTCACATCTCAATTGTGCTACAACTTGCTAAATAGGTCTGCTTCTAGGAATAATAGAGCCTCCTCAATCCTGAGTTTTATTTTAGGTCAGATGTGGCTAACAAGGTTTCAGCTAGGTGCCTTAGATAACTTTTATGAATGCTAAATGAAGGAATTTATGTGACTCTGATTCGAAGTGATGTATTTTTGTAAGAAGGATATAAGGACAATGAAAATGAAAAATGATTACATAGTAAGACCAAGAGCTGGTAAAATTCATGACTAAACAACTATAAAACTACAAAATCCAATTTTATTTTAATGATTCATAAATTATTATTATATTTACTGAACAATGGAAGTTTCTCAAAAAATCTCAACTATTTGTGTTTGCAAGTTTCTGTGCCTGTCTTTGTTTTTATTTGGTTAGTGATTTTGGGGAAGGTCTCCACCAAAGGAGGGTGAAGGTTGGTGCACAAGAGATTGGGTATGAAATGGTTTTTATTGTTCCTGCTAGTAGACAAAACTGTAAGAAGAATCCTACGTAAAATGTTACATTCTCTGTTTAGCTTCAATTCCAAAAGGATTCTTGAGATAGCATCTAGACAGGAAATAAATACAAAAATAATTAGTCCATAGCTTTGTTACATTCATTCTCCTACCCATACACTAAGAATTCTCATCAGCTGTGTATCTAGAATAGCTCCGCTAGGAAATCTCAGTCTTTGTATGTAGAGATAGAAACTCACCCTGGCGACACCTTGTTAGCTGGCTGAAATTTCGGCACTCATGGTAGCCAACTCCTTATATTGGTCTTCCTGGCCTTACTATTGCCCTGGATACTAATCATATTAGGAAAGAAATATATAGTTGAGCAAATAAATGAGTGCATAGCCATAAATAATTTTTGAAATGACTGTGTTTCCATAGCCTGGAAAAAAGGAGGCAAAAAGCAAACAGGATAATTGTCTTCGTATGTGCCATAGAGAATCTTGTAGGAAGCAAACATCGTTGTTTATTGCCTTCTTCAAGGTGGAGGAAAACACCCCAAAATCAAAAAGTAGGTTTACATAAAAGTGGAATTAACATCAATATGAGAAAATGTTTTTGAACATTATAAGTTATGCAACAATTAGGTCTTGTGAATTGGTGTGCAGCCTTACTATAAATAGAAACATAAAGGTTGAGTAAAATATAAATATGTTGAACAGGCATTTGCAATAGAGTCTTTCCCATGTCTCTTCAATCTTGAAAATTTAAGATTTCATAATAAACTTTTTCATTTTTTTTAATGAGGGGAGGAGTTTAACCTGATTTTAAACAAACTTGTAATTATTTAAATATTTTTAAATGGTAACTCTAAGAAAATAATTTTTCTGTGTCAAAATCCTGTCTTGTTCTTCCAAGGATTCAGCAGAGTCATCAAAAGAAAATATTCAAGTAGGAAAAAACTGTTGTATAAGCTTCATACTTGTAGTTCTCACACTTTTATTCCCACAGTGCCATCACAACTTTATTTCTAGATATACAGGGTTTCACATTTTAAAATATTAGCCTGATATTCAGTGATAGGAGCTCAGTGACTTTTGCCTTAAACACAGGCACAGGGTTTATCCCAATAACTGAAGAGACTGAGGTGGGTGGATCGCTTGAGCCCAGTAGTTTGAGGCTGCAGTGAGCTATGATCATGCTACTGCATTCCAGCCTGGGCAACAGAGTGAGACCCCGTCTCTGAAAAAACAAACAAACAAACAAACGAAAAAACCCACAAAGCAGTGACAGATTAAACCACAAGAGAGGAAATGAAAAAGACAAAACCAGCTCCCAAGGCAAGATAAACATCTCTGCAGATCAGAAACAAAACATAAAATCAGACGTGTGAGTGATGCAGAAGCCATGGGTTAGCTGACTGTTTGTAAGCTGGCCTGAGTGGAAATAGCTTTGCTCTTGGGAACTAAAGATATTAAAGTGCTTCATGCAATAATGGGGAACTGAGGCTTAGCACCTTCCTTGAAAATAAGATATGGAGGAGGGTGGGAGGGACTGACTTCCTTTGCTTGCTAATGAAGAGCCAAAATATGTACTGTGCTATACTGCTTCCCTATATAGCTGATTGAAGACTTGCGAGAACCCAGGCCCTGCACTGCAACCAAATGTGGAATCCAGCCATTCACTCTCAGTGCTGGGATTCCCAATATACTCAGTCTA